CTTTTCAATCTGGTTTAACTTGTAATTATTGGGAATATTAAAGGTTCTATCTTCATACAATCTAATTGAATAAGGACTGGATCTGGATAAATTTACATATAAGTTTTACTAATATGTTTTGCTTCTTATAAATATTGAATTAGAAATATGTATTTGAAGATCTAAAAGTACTATCTACTATACTATTAACTCACAGGTCTAATTTTAAGATATATTTATTAATAAAATATTAAAAAACTTAATATTTTATTTTTTATATTCTAACAAATATATCTTTTATTTATTATAAAAAATATTTGTTTAAAGACTTTTTAGACAAACTGTATATTATTAAAAGTATTAAATTAAATTATATTAATTTAGAATTAATTTTTAAAAAGTTTTTAAAATCCATTAAATAAGTTTTGATTTTATTAAAAAATTTATCAAATTAAAATCAAAAATCTTTTTTTATATACGTACGTAATTTTTTTTATATGATTAATTATTTTAATCTTAATTAATAAAAGGTAAAAGTTTATTTTTATATAATCTAATTTAATTTGAACGACAATTTTTTATAAATATTATATTTATAATAAATTAAAATAGATTTTTTTTTTAAAAAAAAAAACTAATTAAGCATATGTACTGTATATTAAAAATTTTAATCTAATAAATATAAAATTTGTTATTTTAGTTTTAGAAATAGAGATTTATTTTTATTTGATTTAGGTACGTTTCTATTTTAAAATTATTATTAGAAACTTTTCAATTAACAAATTTTAATATTTTACAAGTTGGATGTTAAATAAAGATTTTTTATTAAATAAAAGTTTAAATTTAATGTCAAACTGTTTTATTATTGACTGAGTCTAAAAAATTCTCGATCATCTGAATAAAATGATAAACAACGAAAAAACATTTGTTCAGAATTATAATTCAACAATACTTTAAATATTAAGTAGTGGCGAGAGTTGCTAATAATCATTTCCAGATCTAAACGGATTTTTAAAATTCAATCGATATGGTACATTATAACAAAAAGATAAACTTTAGTTACTAGCAAATAGGATTCTACGAATTAAAAATTCTAAGCATCGAACAATAAAGAAAAAATTATGAAGTATCCATGCTGTCACCAACATGTCCTGAACCGGACTCCTTACTCTCCATCTCGGATTGATAGGTATTGAATTGGTCACCCCACTGTCCGACTTTTGTGTCTCTGATGAAAGCGTCAAACTTGGGCGTACTTCCACCTTCAAGAGAGAATATCGATAGGCCTCATAAATAAGAATTCTCTTATTAGGCAACTACCACAAAACAAATCTCACCTTGTTCGGCCAATCTATTCAAAGCAACCACGGTCCTAACCGCGGATCGACATAACTCATTATTTTTATCGATTTCCGATTTAACGGCGTTGTCTTTCATTCTGTACGTTAAAGTACCTTTGAGCGGTTCCACTGTTTCATCCAATCCTATATGGACACAACAGAACGATGTTACAATATTTTGAACAAACCTCAAAAAAAATCAAAAATTCTCAAATATATATATCTATACAAACTTTGTGTAACAGCCGTCGGAGCGACTTGAGCCAGACGTATCAACATCGTGTGTGAGAGAATGGCAATGTCATGTTGATCGGCTAGACCGTCAATTACTCGAGACAAGAAGCTGTAGATTTCAAGTTTATCGAGGCAAGTTTCAAGTAGTGTGTACATACATTCGTATGCGGACTAAAATTGCATTGTGCATAAAAATTATTAATTTTAATTACATAATTTTGGAAAGCCGAAAGCCAATAAAAAATAATAATTCACATTTACCTTTCTAATGTCAAGACCATCATCCACCTTATGTTTAAACGGACCCATTTCTACCATATGAATAAGATTATCCTATTTCATGAAAGAGAACTGTGAGCGTATCATACGTTGCTTGCGTCGTGATAAAATGGGACTCACCTTGACTTCTGTTTCTGAGTACAACAGTGGCAACAACTGCCCCAATACATCACGAATCAAATATGGCTTATTATGGGCAGCTGAGTTCAATGTGGATAATGAAAGTCTGCGGACATTCTAAAATATGTATAGTACCAGGTCACAAACGTTAGAAACCCGAAACACATGATTTGACCTCAAACACTAAGTAGCTAGGGATTTTGTATCACCAGATCAGAGTCCTGAATCAAAGAAAGGAAATCGACGATTAAGGGACGTAACAGTTCATCGTATTCTTGACCTTGGTTTATAAAAGTAAACTTGATAGCCGTAACTACTGTTCCACGAGTTTGGGCAGATCCAGACCGAAGACGTTTCTATAAAAGGTTGAAAGATTATCACGAAACGTGACGACAAGAGACACTACAGACAAATAAAATAAAATAAAATTATACCTGCAGCTCTGGTAAAAACTTGTTTGGATTCGCCAATGTCAGTTTGCCAAGACATTCTGCAACAACTCCTCTAGTCCCTTCTTCAATATTCTCTCCACTGTCAAAGAGTATGTTCCTAAAAGATGCCGTACAATTAGATTTGCATGTTGGAAATTGTGTAAAAGTACAATCTTTGTACAAAGCACAAACCAAATATCATCTGCAAACGGTCCTAACGCCTTGACTCCGTCTTCGTTTGAATAACGTGAAATAATCTGAATAAAATTCCTTAATCAGTATAATTTTAATCCAAGACCTTGGAACCGATAAGTAAAATCAATGAATACCTCTTTGAGAGAATGCAGTAACAAATATCGTTTTTTGGGATCCGTCGTGATTTCTTTAATGACAATCGGTAAATATTTGCTAACATTTCCCGCACTAACGTTACCAAGTGCAAAGGCCGCTGCGGACTTAATGTCCTCGGAATGCGCCGAGAATAGAGACAGTATGGTTACGTGAAGTCTCGAGTGAGAGCTTAAATCGCTATTTGAGGACGAATTTTAACGATCACATGTTTGCAAGCGGAAAGTATGTATAAATAAATAAAACATAAAGGACATACAATTTACGTCCAATTTCTCCCAAGGTTAAAAGTGAGACGTATTTAATAGACTCAGAATATTTAGGTTCCTAGACAAAGATGGTTCTGATAAACAAAAAAACGATTCAATATCTGGTTAAACCTTAATAGTTTTACATACCCCTATCATCTTGGATAATTCAACGACGGTGTTGTTACAATAATGTGGAGATGATACACATATTATGGCAATGCATTGTGCAACCGTCGAATAAGCCTAAAGAAAGGAAAAAAA